CCCGGAGTGCCAGGAGGAGACCACGGAGCCTTACACTTTCGCCTTCGCAACAGCACAGGTCTTCGAAGCTGCGCCGGAGGAGTGTGCGATGTTCTCGACACAAGCGCAAGCGGTCACTTTCCCGCTGTAGGAAAGCATCGCTCACATCGAGCTCTAGCCATCCTAGTCCAAGAGCTAAGCCACTGCCTTCATCTAGCAAGTCACCAAAGTCAGACCCAAGCATTGTCCTGCCGCCCTCCGTGACAAAGCTCCGGGCGAAGGCCAAGCCGAAGCCACGAGGCAGGCCCGGTGTCAAAGGGCCTCCTGCGCTCGGAAAGGCTAACCATGCGAGTGCAAAGTCTCGTGGAGGTAGGGCTGCCATGGCTGGTGTACAGCGAGCCAGTAAGGCCAATCATGTACGACCTCCAAGAAGAGATGTGCGAGATGATGTTGCTGAATACAGCTACTATAGTGAGTATGAGTACGAGTACAGCTATGTGTGATGAAAACAAGGGCAGGCGCTGACACTGACACTTGCCCGGTCGCAGCCTGCTTCCACCAAAATGGGATCTAAGACGAGAGCTACAAACCTGTGTACTTTTTCGTAAACTGCCTGGTATCAGGTGGATGTAAGAGGAAGCGGCACGGGGCTGTGCCTTGCAGTTTATCTGAACGAGTAGTATGGTGGCTACGGAGGCAAGACTTTGGATGAATGCAGTCCAAACTCCATTGAAGCGGTGCTTGGTACTTACCCCTTGTACTCCGGAGACTGCTATCATGGTCATGCCGCTGGGGTTGTTTGTTCGTTTCAAATCCAGCGTGTGCGCAGGCTTGGGAGGTGTCGAAGCGAGCACAAGGAGCATCATCCGTGGCGTCTGATACGAAATGCAGTCACGCCGGCTTCGTTTGGGTACACCGCCAAGCTTCATGCAGGCGCACGCCAAGAGCCCTCGACGTCCCCTTGCGTGGCCCAGAGATGAGGCAAGGAATTTCAAGGCTGGCACTAGCCGGGGGATGGAGACCGATCCCATCCAGAGCACCCTGTCAAGCCCATTTTTTGCGCAAGGCTGCAGCCTGGATGAACACCGCCACCGTGGCCGCATGCCACCTGACTGGATGACACTTTTTTTCCAGTGTTGGCTGTTAATCGTGCGTCTTGGCCAGAGAGCTACAGCTTCCCTGCGCTTTCCATTTTCCGTACCAGTCCGTTGTAGTCTTTTTCGTCGCGAAAGCAGCCGCCCTGCAGCAAGCAAAGGCGAAGGCACGCCTCGTCCACACCCACCCCGAACTGTGGAATCTGAGTGATGAGTGACGGCGGACAAACCCCCACAGAAAAAGGTGGTTTGGGGGGTCATACCATGCCGTGGGTGTGGGGAAGCTGCACCATACAGATGTAGAGCCGCTTGTTGTCTTATGACGATTGAATCTCCCGACACGAGCTGCGAGCCAGAGCGAACAAACGTTAAACGTTGTTTCTCGCGTTTTTCACTCGGCCCAAAGATAGAACTGTCGACAGAAGTGATGTATGCAGAGTCGGTTTGACGGCAAACCTCGGTAGCATCGTTTGACAGCTTGGATTTCAGAGGATGTTGTTGCATGTCTCATTAGTACTCGGTGCCGTGTGGACTGTCCCAGAAGAGGCTGCACCAGCTACGGATGTTCGACGTCGGGTTTTGTCATTGCTGAGTCGCCGCCGCAGTCGCCGCCCCAGAGTATGTGCAGACTAGGTTGCCGTGTGCATGCTTACTCTCAACAGGTCGGTCATGGTGAAACAGTGGGCAAGTGTAGCTCACGCTGACAGAGCCCCAGCCTGCATGCTTCTCGCCTGCGTCGAAGCAGGTTTGTGTACTGTGGTACTGTTCAGTCCCGCGACACCTTTCCACCGGAGACCAGTGTTGCTTGCGCTAAGTGCGACGTGAAGCGAGATGTTCAACCTGGAGGCCTGGCCAGACGTGTATGCTCACTTGCAGGCTGCTTGCAGGACTTGCAAGTGCGTTGATCTGCTCGTCTGTTCTTTCACAGAGACTTCGATGTGGTTCAAAATTGACCTCAGCCTGCTGGGCTGACCTTCCCTGGAAGCCTTAGAGACTAAGATAGAGATGCTGAGATGCCCTGGATGGTTTTAGACCTTGCCGTGCACGCCGTGCACACGGATGACAAGCCGGGAAGCAGGTCAAGTCGGCGAGGACGTCAGCGGTGAGCAAAATGAGCAGAAGAGATTCTCGGATCATCTCTAGCATAGCATGTTGCAGAAGTTTCGTCCCCCCCAAACACGCAGATGAACATCCTAAGGTCCTAAGGTCCTAAGCCAAAGCACTTGCCACACCTCGAGCCGACTAGCTTCGGAACTGCCCATAAGGTGTTGTGAAAGCTGCTAGCGAAGCAGGCAAGGCAACGGAAGACCGGAGAGAGGTCTTGTCCAGCGACAGTGAAAGTTCACAGGATGCTCAACAGCTCAAGGCATGCAGTCCGCTGGGGGCTGAAAGTACTCATGTGGATTCACAGTGTGCAGAAGAGGTCATCCGTGAGACGCTTGGAGATGCTGCTAGTGTGCCGCCGAGGGCGCG